AAATCAAAATGAAATTTGCAGCACACAAGTCCCTCCACATTAATTCCTGGGGTAAAGTTTCCYTGTGTATGGCAGTTTACTCCAGTTTCGGAGCAGTTAGTGCCCTGAGCACCTCCCACCAGCCAGATGCACCAGGCTCCCTGTGCCCCAGGTCCGCAGGCCGAACTGCTGCTGTTCAGTAAGAAAACATTCCCACGGCAAGCAGCATCCCACGCTCCTCCCTCCAGCAGGCACCATTTCAATATCGAGTCCGGGAGGTTCCTCTAACTTTGCATCTTAAATTTCTCCAATATACTAGTAGATTTAATGAGCCCTTTTTTTCCCTTTCAGCAAAAGAAGATGGGAAATGGGGACTGTAGGGCACCTTAATTCTGGTTCTGTGTTCCACAAGTTGCTGGCCAGCAAGGTGAGAGCAGCAGAGCAATCCCTGTGCAGGCCCTTGGATGCTGGGACTTGCTTCCCGGATTGGTTTAGGTGCTGAAAAGCAGGTGACCTCCTGCATTCCCAACAAAAGCAGCRTGTTTGGTGGCACTGCTGGAAGCACCAAGGATGAGCTTCCCATAGCAATGAAAGGGCCTGAAGGAATGCTCCTAGGAGCCCAACTAGCACCAGTCTAGCTCAACTCATGGTAGATTTGTTGTTAATGATACTGCACAGTGCCTAGTGACTGGCATAAGTAACAAGTGAGAAAGCATCTGAGGCAAAATACGTGGGATTTTTCCTCTCGGTTCTTCCACGTGAGCCCTCGCTGCTGCAGGGAGGCTCAGAGTGCTGCTGTGAAGCACAAACCTCCTGTCCAAGCACTGCCATCTCCTTCCGTGCTGGTTGCCATAGAAATGGGGAGCACTGAGGGCCTTTGGGGTAAGTAACTCTGCAACACAGGCCCGGTTAGACACAACATCCCTTTGCTTAACAGCTCGTTCCCTTCGTCGCCTTTTCACGTCCCAGCAATTAGGTCCAGCTTGAGAAGGGCAGCTTGAACAGCACCCATCTACACTTGGCCTTTTGGCAGCTATTTAGGTAGTTATACAGCTTGCTGCCTCAAATAGACCTTAGCAGGGTGACCAAGTAACGATGAGATGGTCGCCCCGATGGCTGGTGGCGCGTGCAGCAGATCAGAGGCCTGTGCTGAGAGCAGTGAGACAGGCCCACGTGGCTGAGCAAGCCTCGTTCTTGTTTCATGTTCTTTGTTAGCACAAACGGGGTGTTTCAATCCCCGAGCAGAACMTGGAGCCCTTCCTACAAAGCGCCCTGAACTCCCACTGACCAAATTGCTGGCATGTCACTGATACGCCTGATTCCGGCATCAGGCCTCACTCATCCTGGCCTTTACAGCCTCAGGAACCTTTGCAGCAGGTGTGCTGCAGGGTGTCCAGGGCAGGGCATGGCCAGGGAGGTAGGAACTGCCCTGTGAAGCTCATCCCATCTGCTGGAGCAGCCAGTGCTTCATGAGAAGGTTGGACATCACCCAGCTCCCTTAACGCACCCCTTAATGAGCTGATAGGCAAAGCAGAGCATCGTGCCAGAAACTAAAGCTGATTTTTTCCTGACCTGAGGTAAAGAGTAAGCATATATGTCAAAGCTTGAAGACTAAATCCCTCTGACTCACGGCAGAGGATTCATTGGCCAAGTTTTCATCTATCRCCAGTACAACCTAGAAGGACCCCTGTCACAGTTTGTGGAATAAAATCATGTAAAAGCCCATTTAGCTGGAGCATAAATCAGGACCAAAACATTCACAGGGCTCTACATCTGCATCAGRAATCCCTGTCTGGCTGCCAAACACTTGGGAAAAATCATAACGCTGGCTGGGTGGCTCCAGCGTTTATCATAAAGCTGACAGAGACGACTAATTTCTCCTCATTTACTAGCATTCCTTTTGCTCTCCAGAAAGGAGAGAYGCTCTTGCCAACCTCACATGCTACTTCATATCTTCTAACAATCCCATTTAGCAGAAAGAAGGAAAAAAGATGAAATACCTGTGAGTGGAGCTTTGAGGAGCTCCTGCTTTCCCTTCAGCAAGACCTGTGCAGTCAGTGGCAAGCAGCCCTCTTGAACAATGCCAAGCAACAGCAGAAACACATGTCCTGTATTAGCTTCTTTAGCAATTATTGTAGCATTTTTTTAGCAACTTTTACTTACTTAGCAACTTTACTTACCTCAACCCCCTCTTGGCAAGCAGAAGTCACCCGGAATGAACCTATTTCCTCAATACTTGAGTGTCTCCTCTCCAGTTACATCCCTGAACCAAGACTGGTTGATACTCACCTCGTGTCGGAACAAGAAAGCTTTGGCCAGGGGGATGATTTTCAGCTGAGGCATGTGCTGGATGTGGGACCTTTGTGGGTTTACACTGAAGAAGCTTCTGGATGCCTTTAGAGAAACAAAGCCCTTAGCAAGCAGGATTTGTGCTTGCCGTGTGTCCTTTGTGCTGCCAGCCAGCCRCCAGGCTTCCTCCCATACGCAGCAGGTAAAGTGCTTCTTGTGCAGAGGGTGTAAGGCAGTTTGTAACAGGCTTGGGGATACTCCTGGGTAAAACACGGCAGAAGGCAGTGCTGTCTTTGAAGGATGATTCTGGCTTCCCATGAGAGCTGAATGTGACGCTTGTATCTGTTGCAGCTACAAAGAGGTAATGGGCAGTGAGTTATTTTGCCTTTGGATGGAAGGCACTTGGCAGAAATGAGTGATTAAAGGGTGCGTTTCCAACACTGGCTTTCAGCAAAGGCTTTGAAAGAGACTTTGGAGACTTAAAAAGTTATTTTATTTTCCAAACTCAACACGTTCCCTAGGGAAAAAAGAAAGAAAATAAGTTCAGACCAAGACTCCACTCAGCTATCTAGCTGGGACAAGCCTTTTAGCCGCGTTTGGCTCAACAGGCAGGGAAGATAAGATTCCCGGGGAGTAGTGGCAGACAAGGGGGATGGGATGAACTTGCAGAGTGAAATTGCCCAGAAGCGAAGCAGCAASCACTGACTTTGCAGGGAAAAGCTTTATCATCTCCGCACAGATTACCCGAGCTAAAAATAGCCTCAGCTCAAAGTAAACGGGTTTTGAGAGTGYTCTGCCCTGCTGGCACGTCGGCCCCATGCCATGCGCTGATACACTTGGTGGGAACATCCAAGTGGCCCCGTTGGGCTGCGCACGTCCCCATGTCCCCAGAGCTGCTGCGTTCACCTCTCCACTGCCAGAGCTCATCATTACACCCTGGCCACTAGCAAAGGTGACCCCAGACATGGTTTGCTGGTGACTTTAGCCTCCTTAGCTTTCTTTTTTTTTAATATGTCACTTGTTGCTGATGCTTCCTGGATTAACAACTTCCATAAAAACTGAATTGGCTTGAATATCAAATAATTCACACACATTGATACTCCTTGCCTGTTCCTTAATCCATGACAGATGGTGCACATTTTGGRGAGATTTGGGACAGAGTAGTTCGGCACTAAGGATGCTTTTACCTGTTGCATTCTTTTCTTCTCATGGTTCCCAGAATGCACGATGTATCTGATGGCTTGAAACATCCTCACTTTCTTTAATGAGCCCAGAAGACTGTTGAAATAAKCTAAACAATTTCTGATCAACRATTTATTTTAAAAATGGAGTGTTTTGTTTGTTTTTGTGTTTTCTTTTTTTGAGTGGGGAGGRAGGAGGGCAGAAGTCTGGAAGTGATCAAAATACCACATTCTTTTCCACTTCTGTTTTCCACCATTCCCTATTTCCTTGCAATCTTGATCCCATCAAGGGACACGAACGCAGCTCTGTGCCTGGGAATCTCAGCGGAAGGCTTTGTTTATAGGAGAAGGCAGAATATGGTCGTGGAGCTGTGACGACACCACTCTGACATGGGCAGCTCTCGTTTCAGAGAGAAACGGGCAAAGCATGCGGGTCAGAATCAGGGCATTCCTTCCCAAAATGACAGACCATGTCCTGGAGCTTCGCAGGCTCCTGGAYGGCTCTTTGTGCTGTTTGTTCTTGTGGGATCGCTCGGTGCACTGTCAAGCATCGTAGCTGCTCTGTGAATTGGTTTCCTCTTCTTATCACCTTTTCAGGGCGCTCTCAACTCATTCTACAGTTTTACCTTAAAGATTGCTCCAAGCTTGTCCTTCCTCCTTGTGGTCACTGTGATCACCCCATAGGCTGCTCTCTGACTCTGTTCTCTGGTGCAGAACATGGAAGAGCTCAACAAAAATCACTGTAACTCCCTGCAGACCAAGTGCACAGTCCYCAGCAGGCAGCAGCAGCACGAAGCAAATCTGAACCTCCCGTTGCCCAGCACAGCAACGTCATTAACAGCAGTGCTAAACCAGGCAGGAGAGCACAGCAGAACCACAGCTGGATGCAAGAAACAGCAAAAACATCCCTAAAACAAGTGTATTAATCAACTGGAGTGAAAACCAGAGAAAAGTACAGAAAGGCATGAAAAGTCAGTTGTGGCTTTAGCTAAGCGGGTCTCTTCAACCCTATAATACAGTCCGTCATCCAGGCCAGGCATTTATTCTGCATGCTCACTATGGTGGGATTGGAACAGTATTTATTCCTTTATGTATCGCCAGCACCCCAGGGTGAATGTCCAAGGGTGCTGGACGTTCCAACCAGTCTTCTACCTCCTGTCTGAAGAATTGGACAAGATAAGATAAACTTGACCCTTAGCTAGAAATTCAGGTGGATTTCCAGAGAAACAAAAATGTCAACTTTCTTTCAAAAATAATAAATGTTGAAARCCATATATTTTAACCCCAAAATGTTAACATTCCAGGCAAGCTGAAAGCTTTTTTGGCATCTTAATACTTTCTTCYTTGCAAGAAAAAGATACATTGTGTGGAAAATATTGCTTCATCTCAAGCTGTATTTTCCTACTTAAAGAGTTTTGATTGCAAATATTTGACTAGCCCTTGTGGAGATGGTCTTAGATGAGGAGGTCACTGTAAGGACGTGTATGGAAGAAAGGAAGGACTCTTCTGACAGATGCTTTTGAGGAGGTTGCTCCCAGGACCAGACACAYAGGATTAGGGGGTTCAGGTATGGCAAATAGTTAATAGAAATCTTGTTTAAAATGCAAAGTTGTATATCATGCTGCAAGATTGCTGAAGAGCTTTGTTGTTGTTATTGCTACTCATTGCGTGTGTTGCCTCATGGGGTTGTTCTTGTGGTAGGCACTTGTATCCTCGCAAGCACATGACAACATTTGGCCTTCAGACCCTGCAGTCTAAGTGCTAGTGTAAAAACTTTCATCCTCTGGATTTCTTTCAAATATGAGTTGGAATAAATACAAGAAACCTTGAGTCTTTGCTGGACCAGCRGAGCAATCTCCTGAAGCAATGGTCTGGAGAGCTGATATCTTGGCATTGGAGCCCTCCCACACCAGCTGCATCCCTAGTGAGGCCAGGCAACACTTGGCACTCTGTGGTGAAGTCATTACCGTTACGTTCTGGTAATTAATAATGTATGACTCAGATTAGTTTCTGTCAAACGATACATCTCTGAAAAGCAAACTGGCTTCCTGGTGCCAGTTTGGAAACAAAACAGAATTGAATCAAGAGGCAGGGCTCTATCAGGTCAGYTTAGGGCTCAGCAGCTACACTGAGTACAAGCACCTTTTGCTTTATCAAGGTCTTTTTCTCCTTCCTTAGTGCCTCACTATAGTCATCAGGGTGTTTCCTGCATGGTTTCTCTTGGTATTTTTTTTCTCTCTTCCTGCACATGTTGTCAAGAGGTGTGTGTGCACCCATCACAACAAGCAGCTCAGGTTTTGGGGCACCCCAACAGGGTGTCTCGCTAGTGGAGCTGGTCCAGATGATGCTCTTGGTCGGCTCGCAGGCAGGTGGCAAACCTGGGGCACAACGACTCCGAGGCCCATCTGGCACGTGGAGCTGCAGGACAAGAGGAAGGCTGGTTTTACAGCTGCCTTCTGCTCAGCAAGATGGCAGGTTGGAGGAGCCAAGTCCTCACCACTGCTCACTTTGCATGCAGCAGACGGGAAAGCTCCCAYGGCTCCAGTAGAGATTGAACCAGGTCCTCTGCAAATATCCTTCATGTTCCCCAGTTGAGACGAGCCCACTTATCCTGTCCTTCACAAGCTTGCGGCCTGTTGTGCCCTTGCAGCAGGGACCAGCTGTCCTTGCAATCCCTCAGCAAGGCAATTGGCATTGAGGGATCTTTTCAGGAGCAAGCCACACACAGATGTTAGTCCCTCACATCTACAGACCTGTGCACCTCTCCGCTGTGCTGGGTGAAAGTCTTGGCATGCGGCACTCAGACAGCTTGTCCTTTTGCTCTTGGTCACCCAGTGCTGCCTCCAAGGGGGACAGGATATAAGGAGGTCAACAYCACAGAGGGGCCTCTGATATGGGCAGGAGCAGCCAAGAATTCCTCTGCCCCTGGAACAGCCTGAGCATCACAGCAGCATGGACACACATACATGCTCAACACACAGCACTGTCTTGCCCCATAGACTTTCCCCCTTAAACCTGGGGGCCGTGCTGACCCCAGCTCCACATTTCACCCCCAGATAAGGCCACCGTCCGTGGGAAGAGAACTTGACGCACTTGCACGCAGCCCCGTGAAACCGCACGGCGTCAGGAGCGAGTGCCCTCGTCCAGGCTGCGCGGCACAGCCGAATGCCGAGGCGCAGCTGGGGTGAATCCAAGCAGAGAGCTCAAGAGCCCCCGGGGCGCTGCCCGCACGAGGCACCAGTAACAGGTGGAGCCTCGCGGGGCCGGGGCCGCTCCGGCGCCAAGGGAGCGTCTCGCAGCGAAAGCTCCAGCGCCCGAGATCGCAGGCAGGATGTCGGGGCGGCCGCAGCTGCCGGGAGATGAGGTTACAAGGCAACGCTAAGCGGAGATCTCCGCGAGGAGGAAACCGATGCCTCCCGCCCCGCTGTAAGGTAGCCGCCGAGCGGGAGCTGCTTGACATCATCAGGACGAGCGTTGGATTACAGCCGGGAGCAGGAGAACACGCCCCTCGGCCCCAGAAGTGCAACTTCATTTAGCCGCCCTGCAAACGAGTGAGGAAGCTGTAAGTCCGAGCACGGCCGTGACTAACCTGCCCGCTCGCCAGCCCTGGCGGTGCCAGCCTAGGGTGTCTCCGAGCACCGAGCCCTTCGCCAGCGGCCTCGCTTGGTGGCCTGGGATCCGAGCAGCAGCCGGAGCCTCCGTGTATCCGTAAGTACTGCCTGGGTGGAGGGTCGCGGCTGCCGGCATCACCCCGGATGCCTGCGGGACCACRGCCACCTGGGCAGGCGGCGAGGAGCCACCGCGCGCGGCGCCCGTTGCCAACGCGCCACTTTCCTCAGGATAGAGTTAACTTCTTGCCTGCCTCTGAGCAGCGAGACATTTCTGCTGCCCACAAAGTGTAGGTGGGACGTGCTGCTGAATCTCAGCTTTCTGCTGCTCGGAGGCCGAGCGCAGCGTGGCTGCGGGGAGCGCGCGGACGGGGACACGCCACGCTGGGAGCGGGCAGAGCACACGGGAATGGCAACGGAATGAGGATTTCTGCCCCCGCTGGGGATTTGTGGCCTCATTTCTGACATTTGCCCATTTATGTGGGGCAGCTAGCCAAAGTTCCTAATAGCACCAGGGGCACTGATGGTTTTCACAGAGCCCGTGCCAGTCTGCGAGGCACTCGCCATGCCCAGGCTGCTTGCTGCCATGCGGTTTGGGGTGAATCCCTGCTTGGAATCAGTAGGAACTGCGACGCTCCCGAAGCTCCTTGGTGACCTGCTGGCACGAACGAGAGCTTTGCAGTGCGTGTCAGCGGAAATGGGCTCCGAGACTCTCCGGCATCCAGCTTTCCAAGTGAATGTCTTAAAAGGCAAAGTCTTGGATAAAAAAAGAACGGTGGTGTGGCAGCAGCCTCGGGAGGTTTGCAGCATTCCTCCACCTCCAAGCTGCGTTTCTTCCTCTCCCCTCTCCAGTTTCCTCCAAGCTGCTGGGAAGCCGCATTGAGCTTTTATGTGAACCCAACACCCTGGGCCTGAAGAGGTGTTTAAGAAACTTTTCCATTTGCTCAGAAGGGGTAAAGGAGCCCAAAGAGTGAGTGCTCAGTGCAAGCCCTTTCCCAGAAGCCAGGTCCTCGGCGGCTGAGATGGTGGGACAGGCTCTTTGGAGACTTGCAGGTGTCAARCAAGCAAGAGGAGGGGATGTTGCAGCAGTGTGAGAGGACCCCAGGAGAGGGGACATCTCCAAGCCCCCTGAGCTGGGTGCAGGGACAGTCCAGACGCCCCTGGCTCTGCCCTGCTCACTGGTGGGCCCGATTCAGGCGGCCAGGGCTCCCCTTGGCTTCTCAGACCCGAGCTGATGGAGGCCAACTGTGCTAGTGCATGGCCACCCAGCTGGGAAACGCTCATATTCCCACTCRCAGGAGGGACAGAGTTTGGGAAACAAGAGGAGCTCCTCAATGGCTCGGTTCATTCATGCTGCAGGCACAGATTAAATGGCTATTTACAAACGTGGCTAAAGCAGCAATGCTTAAAATAACTGCAGCACGGAGCAGGGCACTCCGGTTCCTTTAGCAGAGCTCTGCAGGGACATACTGGCTTTCCAAGCCATCATTTTCAAGGATACAAGGATGCTCAGATGCATCAAAGAAGTGGAAACCATTAAAATATAGTAGATAAGTTTCCATCATGGGTTGCTTGAGAGTGGAGACCTTAAAAACCAAGGGTTTTCATAAACATGTGTTCACAGACGTGTGTTTTCCAACTGCTCATTGTTTTTATACTCACACTGGCAATTTCTAGCTTGGTGTCATGTCACACAATGAGCTAAAATGCTTTTTTCCTTTGCTAATTTTGTATTCCAAAGGAGAATAAATCTGCTTTTAAGCCCACTCAGAGCAATATGCATAGCCACATAACCCTCGCCTCAAAAATATAACTGTGAAAACTGCTTTCCAAGTAGCCAACAGTTCCTGGACCTCCCACACTTCAGGGCTGGCTCTTGCAGGGTCCTGCCACGTGTCAATCTCTCCCAGCCTGTCCGGGCAGTCCATCACCAGCTCTATTTTATAGAGAGAACCCAAAGAGACCAAGTGATTTTCCAGGGGTCACACAGATCTGTGGCAGAATCGCCAGGCTGAAGCTACAGCTCCAAGTTCAACAGGGAACATGAGAAGCCACAACCCAGCTTTGTGTCTGCCCCTCTATGCCCCCCTGCTCCGAGGCTCTCATTTCACATTYCTCATTTCACAAAGCCTGATCTTTGAAAGTTTCCCCACTGCTGAGGGTTTCCTTAGCATGACTAAAGCCATACTTAGGCCCTGATTCAGAGAGCTCAAGACAGACCATTCAACACAGTATCCTGTTTTCCAAGACAGAACRGGAGCAAAACTGCTCCCAGGACACTCTGAACTGGACTAGAGAAAGCCAAGTCAAAGGGAGCTGCTACGAATGCTTATAGCAAGGTGGGAACCAACTGGCAGCTCTAGGCTATGGCAGGTACTTTGTCCCCAGCTACTCAAGACAGAAGATACGGGCAGGTAGAAACCATCGCAGGACTCRGCGTGAGCCTTTGTGCTAGAGCAGCCCTCTTGGACTACGATCTATGTGTTCCCTTGCTGCAAAACCTTTGCACTATTCAAGCCTGCAGGCGTTCGTGCTTTCACACCACTGGTTTCTGGTTGGTGCTGCACGTTCATAAATTCTTCCCTGCCCAGCAATGCTCGGGAGAAGCAGAGTGCTCTTTGTCACTTCTCCCTGCCCACTTGCATGCGGACGGGCTGCTGGGCACAAGCCATCGCCTCGGGAACTCCCCGGCAAGCCCTGAAATGCCAACATTTGTTGATATTTGCAATGATGTAATAGGCCAAACTTATCCTCACTGGCATGTCATCAACTTGCCTGGAAATACGGTTTCCACAATGGGTAATTGTTGCACTCACTGCCACTAGATATGCCTGGAACTTCAGAATTTTTTTTAAATAGAAGTAAGGTACTTACCTAAGTAATACAACTACTTTGGTTAGAATCAAAATGATTATTTTTTTTTAAGGATTATAAAACCTTCTGTTTTGGGACAATTAGTAACTGATAAAAAATATTCCATTACAACTACAAGTTTGCACCTCTGAGGCCAAGGAGGCAGCTACTGTTTTGCAGACAGGATACTAAACGAGATGGGCTTTTAGTCRGCTCCGGGAGGACAATTCTCATTCTACTCAGCGATGATTTGGCCTCTTGTTCACCCGTGAGTCAACAGATCTGAGGATGACCGTCTCTCTGCCACCACCACCACCTTGTCCGAGACCAAAAAGGATTTCCTTTCTGGATCAAAAGCAGCACCACATCTGCTGTACAGAATGATGCTGAATTCTGCCAAGACACATTGTGAAATATTTTCAAACAATGCTGAGAGTGCTGCGTTCGTGTCCTTGTTCCTTTCGGGCAACAGCTGATAAAAACAGAAGGATTCCATGTCCAAAGTGATATATATTTTGCTGATAATGYCCTTGTAATTCCTTCCTGATCAGGTTTGGATATTCAGCTATCCAGTGCATGTTTCCAGAGGTCCCCAAATAATTGAGTTTCCTCAAATCCTCTCCTTTGAGTGACAACAGGGTTTTCCTTTCACATCCCATTGGGAATCAGCTTGCTCTGAAGGGACAACTCTTCCTTTTCTAGTGGAGAACATCCCAGTTCCAGCCTGCCTTAAGCCTCTCTTGGCACACRGCCATATATTTTGAGATGTCTTTTTCTTTCCCTGCAATAAATCTGTAGTGCTGAGGGTTTAACTGTTTGGGTTCTGTACCACGTGAGCCAGGAACGCCAAGGAGGAAAACAAAGAATTGTGGATTGTCCAAGCTGGATTTCTTCCTTCCTGCTTTTGTTTGCCTGTTTTGGTGCCCCAGAAGGGCTACACATATTCCCAGAATTGCGGGAATCCTGTTTCTTTTCCGGTCTGGTGTTTCCAATGAACACCTCACCATAAACACTGTAAACACTAACAAAATTGTATTCTGCAATCCTTGTGTCTTTGGACTTTGTCACAGTCGTACTTAGTATTTTCCACCTCTGTAGACCCGTCATCAGCAGATCTCCAAGTGCTTTACAAATATTTGAAGCATCTCGTGAGGGAAGCAAGTATTAATAGCTCCATTGAACAGATGGGGAATGTGTCCGTACACACGGGAGCAGCAAGTGCCCTGTCCTTGAAGCAGCAACAGAGCCAGCAAGCAGTATCAGGCTCCTGCAACCAGGCATTTTAAAAAGTGGGTTAAAAATAAGGAGGAAGGCTCAGAATCTGTCCTAGTTTGGAAGCTGATAGGACATGACAGCAGAAGAACAAACTAGGTTGATGAGCTAGAGAGAACTAGTTACTGCTTACATTAATAAAGTTAATATCTTGCTTYGTGTTCTTTAATATTTGTTCTTGGGACAGAGAGAAAAAAAAAACAATCCATGATGTTCCAAAAAGTCCAAAAGCTGAAGCAGCTGCTAAAATAAGCAAGTGTCCTGTTGGCCAGGCTCTGCAGGTCAGGAGATTGCAATTCACCCACAGATGTTAAGGCCGCAGAGGAAATGTCTCTGAGCRGGGCTTGGGGACAAAATGCACAGCTGTACACAAACAGCAAAGAAACCCAAGCAGCGCCAGATAAAACTAAGCAAGGCAACTAAAAATACTGAGGAAACTTCCCCTGTTGTCTCCATGAGGCAGATGTGGAAGCTTYGTTTCTTTGAATGCCAGTGCCGATGCCAAGCACTGTTTGCTAGGGCTCGTGGCAGAGSCTCTGGTGGGTGCTAAGTCAGAGGGTGACAGTGAGCAGCCCCAGGCGCCCAGGGCACCCCCAACAAAGTGGAAATAGAAGAAGTAAAACCAAGGGGAGAACTAATTTGGTGAACGTTGTTCTTGGTGCTTACAGGCCACATTGCTAGTATGCAAATCCTGCGAGCATGGGCCTCACAAGCACCTCCTGTCACAGAGCCCTGCAGCTCTTGGCTGGTTGTCCCCAAGCCCAGCTTGTGGCCTTGGGCAAAGCCCTGCCAGGCCCCACCTTCCCTTTGCTGTTCCATGCAGACATTGCAAAATCAGCTGCACTTCATGCTTCCAAACAAAAGCACAGACATCTTGCATTTGTTTTCTTTTTCATCCCCAGAAGCTGCTGCCTTGCTGTGTACGAAGCTTACCTGAAGCCATGTCCAGAAGGAAAGTCAACTAAACCAGGTAGGCTTTCACACTGCAGACTGATGTGATTTTTATCCCCAAAGAATATTATATAAGCAGGAAAGGGGGTTTAAGTTCCCGTTTTGCAAAAAGTCATTTGACTTTCCCCTGTATTCTGAATCATTAGCTRCTAGAAAGACCCAGAGTTAAGAGGAAATGAACATCCACAGTTCTGCTGTAATGCCTTTCCTGCTGTATTTTCTCTGCTTCACGGCAACGTACTTGCACAAAACCACATTGCAACAGTGAATCTAAGGGCCGTCGTTAATGCAAACCATGCTGCAAGGCTCTCCCTCAGCAGCAAACCCTCCGACCGCACCGAGTGCTCTGGGAGCAGTGGGAAACGCAGCCTGTGCAAAGCCTGCTCTTTCCTGCAGGCTGCCCCTATGCTTGCACGGGAATAACATCATTGGGGTTTGCCCAGCACGCAGAACCAACCCAGCTGGAAAAAAMCAAGATCAGGAATTTTCTATTCCATCATTTCTAGAGCACCACTTTAACTCACACCTAGGTGTCCTCTCCCCAGTGACTTTCTGGGAGGGTATTTAACTTGCCTGCAGGTTGCAGAAGTTGCTGTCACTTAACACAGGCTGGTGCGTTAGACAGGTGAATCAATGATGCTTTCCCTGTTCCTATCTGGGGTTAGGTGAGTTAAAATATCAAAAAGGCTGTTGATTTAACTGCAGTTTTGGAGTTAGTTTAGCCACAGCTCTCTGCAGACCTGTTATTAACCCCCAATGCTTTTTATTCCTATGGTATGCAAAGCACCAATAGCAACATCTCAGCCACTTAACCCTTTTCACAGCTCCAGAGCATAGATTTTCCTATCTCCTCTCTCAACTTTCCACGTGAATACAGTCCCTGCCTCAGGCTGAGAGTTACACTAGTGATTTCTTCGGCGCAGGAACAGGTCAGAGAGGCCCCAAGGAGCAGAGCTAAGCCCATTTTCACTGAGCAGCTTGCCTTATTCCGTGATGACGGTCTCGAGAATTATCCTGGTTATTTTTAGGACTACTGAGAGCTGCCAGGGCTCTCGCACCTCGGGAGGTTTCACAGCTTCTTATCCAGCCCTGTGCACTAGTCAAAAGGACTATGCAGAAGCCTTGCTACGAGTTTGTACAAACCTGGATGAGGAAGGTCCCACACAGGTGGCTGTCAGCGACATGGACCCTGTGCTGGGCAGTCCACCCAAACTACTGATGTTTGGGCTGCTGCGGCCTGCATAGMACCTCTCCTGAACTAAACTCCCCCTTCCCAGGCATGCAAGCATCGCGCTCACATAGCAGCAGAGAGCAATTCTTCCCCTCAGAAAACAGCACAAAGTTGCATCCAATTTACTCATTTCCCTCTTGAGCATATTTAAAAACAAACAAACAAAAAAGCCCTTACCTCTAACCTTGTAGAAAGTTCTTCTTGTGCCTAGAAAGACAGCTAAGCTATCAAGAATCTGATGCCTTCTCCTTCCATTTATACCTGACAGGGGCAGCTGTGCCAGAAAATAGGCCCCAGCTGTGTCTGCTCCTAACTTCTTAACTTCTTCTTGCTCCAAAGGAGTGTCTATCAGAAGGAGCTGGGTATTTTGGGGGGTGAGAGCCTGTAGGCAAGACAGGGAATTCAAATAGGGCTGAGTAGGTGATGGTCACKGATAAAGCAATGCCCTGGTGCAATCTGAGGAGCTTTGGGACTAGTGGGTAACTTCCAGTTTTTGAGGTGAAAAACATTAGGGACTTTTACTTCAGGGGCCTGTGTGATTTGGGAGGAGCAGGAGGATCCAAAGCCATTGACATCCAAAAGGGATCCACAAATGGTCTAGATGTGATGGGGATGTCTGTGACCTTCATAGGTGGGGACAATGCAGGAGCCTGTCTCAGGCATCCCAGCAGCAGCTGTGAGCCTGACAGCTGAGGTGTGTGAAGTGACTCCTCTGTGGCTAATTTGTCTTGCAAATTCAGCTGGTATTAGATCTTCCACACAGTCATCACATGGAAAAGGCACGTTGATGTGAAAAGGCAGGTAAATAAGAAGCTGGGGGAACACACTGACACCTTCATGCTCCTTACGGCTTTGAGGCCAGCACTCCAAGGGTAGCAGGGCTGGCTCGCAACGAGGAWGGTGCTAAGTGGTTATGCAGCAGCTCCCTGGCTGAATGAGAAGGATTTGGTTCACTGCTTTTTGCTCTGCSAGGGCCAGGGACCAGTGTTGACCGGATGCTAGCACTGCACTGGCTTCATCCTGTGGCTTTATCTGTCACGGTTTATRGGTCACACAGTTAATTTTAACTCCCAGGTGCAAACGCTCGCTCTGCCCTGCCTCCCTCTATGCTCAGAGGAGCGTGTGCCTTTCCGAGGGGTGGAAAAACTCAAGTGCCCTGATTTATTAGCACCTTGAAGCTGTGGGATGTGAAAAACAAGCTCAACCTGGGAACAAAACACAAAAATACAAGTGCTGTCACGGCAACTGTCTCCAGATGCATGAAGAGACCAATTATTTCCATTAATCAACTTAGTGAGAAGCTGCAGCAGAGGCTTAAAAAGCAGCCAAGGTTGGATGCTGATGGGGAGGGAAGAGCAGAGATGGTCATAAAACCTTGGTTGCCAAGAGAAAACATGATTCCTACAATCCCTAAGGATTTGGGGAGCAGACACCGAGCAGCTGTCCCTAGCAGAGACTTAGGGTGATGCTGCCCCAGAGCAGGTGCCTTGGGTGCCTGTGCAGGGCTTAGTCTCAGCTAGTGCAAACCAGCAGAGCTGYTTGGCCAGAGCCTTGGCCAGCAGAAAGGTTAATCCTAATGAAGCAAAGGGCGCTGTTAGCTGGAGGAACCTGTGGAAACCTCTGCCCACCTTTGCCCCAGGTGTGCCCTGCTCCCCTTTAAGCTCAAGTGCATGAGGGTCTCAGGCCATAGCTAGACCTTGAAACCTTGAAAAAGCCACCACAGCTCTACCAGCGCTCCCCAACTCTTRCAGAGCCCTTCTTGATGCACGACATCTCACGCTTGTTCCCAGAGAAGCGCCAGYGGAAAATTTGCTGGAATCTCGTCTGGAAGTTGTCAGACAGCTGGTGGAAACCCCCTGACCTCAAGCGCTGGCTTCTGCCCTGCGTGGTTTTCTCCTCCTGCCTGGATGGGAGCCTCGCAGCAGATCCATAGGGAGCCCCAACATCCCGGTGCTCCCGCCTCTGTGCTCCAGCGGGCCCCCCTCTGCCCTAAACCATCTCACACCGTAAATATTTCACAAGCCCGGCAGGGCTGCGGAGTGTGCTTTGCTGTTGTTATGGATCTGGCCCTGGCAGGAGAGGCCTATTAATAGTGTCGGTGCCAAGGAGGGAAAGGGCACGGGGAGCTCAGCGCTGCGTGGAGCGGGAACGCGGCCGTGCGCCATGGCTGTCCCTCAGGCTGGCAGCGAGGGGACGAGGATACCCTGCCTGATCGAAAACACCCGTCCTGACCCCCTTTTCCTAGGGAGCTGTGCCACAACACGGATCATAGCAGAGAGATAGGAGGTTTTTACATGGCCTCAGATTTACCACGTCCTCATTCAGGGCAGCAGCACGGTGCCATCCCACACCTTGGAGGGCTCTAGGAGCGCTCTGGGGTGGCCGGGCATGCCGGCCATGGCACCACCGGGTGCCATGTTGTGCTCAGAACCCCGCGCTGGGCCGTTGGCTCCCAACTGCCGGGGCAACAGGGCCCTGCGCCCGCCGCAGGTGACACAGGGCCCGGGTGTCACAGGGCCCGGTGCCATCCCCTGCGCCCCGGGCCGCGCCGGCTCCTCGCAGGGCGGCGATGTCCCGGCATGAGGCCAAGCTGCCACACGGCCGAAAGCGCTGCCAGTGCCGCGTGGAGGGCGGTCGGTCCTGCTCCGACACGCAGGGCCTGTGCGGGCGCTGCGAGGCCCAGCTCGAGGGAGCGCCCCAGCCCGAGGAGGGCGAGAGGTGAGCGAGGCAGGCGGCGCCGGCCAAGCCGCGCCGAGCTCAGCGCAATRGCCGCGGCCTGGCAATTAATTGCTTCTTCCTGCTGTAAAAAGCGTGCAGTTTTTCCCAATGAGAGGCAGCAGCACGAGCCTGGGGAACCCACTGCCACCGCGCTCCTCGACACCGCAGCGCGGGGCTGGATGTGGCTAAAATCCACCCTGTCCCGGCAAATTCTACCCAGGCTGCAGTTTGGGCTGCAGCTGCACGGATCTAGGCTGCGTTTTAGCCTCCTGGGACATTTCCAGGCCATCCCTCCACCGCCTGGGTTATTTGCAGCGTTTCCTCTGGGCCGTCGGTGCCGGGGTGCCTTTCGGAAATGCTGGTGAGGGGGGAAATGGGATTTAGCCGCGGAGCTGTCAGGTGYACCAGGAGGGGTGTGGAGCTGACTCAGGAAATGCCCTAGTTTCTGGTGCTCTCAAACACCTAAATGTGGCAGAAACACTTAACCCTTTAATGACCCGCCAGATTAAATGGGTAAAACGCAGCCCCAGTGGCTCCAGGAGGGCTAGTTTATCCAAGCCACAAAATTTCAGAGCCAGGAAGAGCAGAGGCAGCTGCTCCTTCAGCTGCTGAATGAGTTCCCTAAGAAAATGACTGTAAGCCCAGCTTACAACAACAACTCCAAATGCCAAATCCAAACCAGCGAGACCAAGACTGTTACAACTCCAGATTTTGTTTCATTCCAGTCTACCTAAAACACTAAGCAAAAATAAGTGCAAACAAAGCAGCAGGTTGGGCAGTGGAAGATGATTTTGGCAAGGCAAGGGAGCAGAGAAGGTGCCCTGGAAATACTCGGACGCCGCACTTTAATGTGCTGCTAAAACCGAGCACTTAGTCYGGGAATGCTCGTCAGGAGCGTGCGGTTTCCTCCCTCCGTGGGCCCACAGCAATATGAAAAACAGAAACTGTGAAGCCGGCTGGTGAAACACGGTGCTGTCCATGCACTACTGCCCCAGCTCAGTGACTGCCCGTGGTGACACATTTCCAGCTGAACTACRTGGTAAGAGGGAAATTTGCTCCTCTCTTGTCACTGACTTAGACACTAAAACAGGTTTCCACTGCCTAAAACCCACTGATGGGTTCTGCACCTGCCTGGAAACAGGGAAATGCTCTTTGTAAAATCAAGTCTTACACAGAAAGCTGAGGTGGCAACTCCCACCATCTGCTCAGTGCAGCAGTTACCTCAGGACAGAAGGGACAGGTCCTCTGCCACCAATGGAGGGATCTGCCCGCAAGGCTTCAGAGAGATGTCCACCTTGCAAATCCTGCAGAAATTGCCCAAATCATAGACCTCTGCTCAAAATCCACCCTGCTCCACCTCTTTGCTGTTGGATTCTGCTGCACAAATTTGTCCAGCAATGGAAAATAAATCGACTACGCCATCTCCCGGCCATCACACAGCAGAACCACTCCAGGACACACTTTTGTAGACATATTTCCCATACTCTTTTTTTCTCTTTTTTTTGGTTTTCCTCTTTTTTTTTTTTTTTTTTTTTTAAGTCCCTTGCCAAAGCTTCCCAATTCCCATTCGTGACACTTCTGCAGATGCTACAGCACAGCTCTTGAGCATGAAGCTGTATGAGACAGCCTGACCATGGGCACAAGCTAACACAGAGCCAGCCTCCTGAATWTGCAGCCTTTCCCAGACTCTCCTCTTGACCGTTCAGTCCTAAGGTTAACTTGTGCTTATATTTTCATTTCCTCTGCTCCCTCCAGTTTTGCTTGCAGCTGTGGACACATCAGCATTGCTAAGTGTGCAACCCAGGAGTTAGAGCAGCTGCGGATAGTCAGCAGCCCCCAAGTCCCCATGAGCTGAGAGGGAGACTTGGCAGGGATTGGGAGACACTCGAACTGTCACCAGGAGAGGTGTGTTGCTTACTGAGGACAACCAGCTTGCCACATCCYGACTGGGAACCGTTTCCCAGGAAGGACAGGCCTGCTAAATCGCAGAATAAGAGATTTTTTTCCCTCTGCTTATCGTGGTCTATCACACCACCTGCATTGTTTTCTTTCTACCATGATAAAGGAGTGAGGTGGCTGCATGGCTGCTGCTCAAGCTGCGAGTCCAGCACCTGGTGTTCAACACAGGCCCTGCAGGGAAGGACACGGTGGCTTTTAGCACCCAGCAACGCTTCGGTTCCTCATGCAGCTTGAAGTGATACCAGAGTAGCACAAGTAGTTTCCAACTTTCATGACCCCTGCAACATCAAACAGTTCTCCCAACATCTGCAAAGAAATATCTGAGAGAGATGCTTCAGCCAAGACTCTGCTCCTCTGCTGGCTAAATCCACATCTGGTGCTCATTGGTAATCCGTGCAAAGAGCTGGATCACGCTGGAGCTGGAGGGCTTTCCACACCATGCTGGGCGTGAGTCATGTTTGCTGTCTGCAGAACATGGTTGTTGTATGGGACCACCCCAACTTGAGGGAGGGATTCGGGGCTTAGCGACCCAAAGCAGGTGGGTGGCGACATACAGGCACCATGCTGTGCAGTCTCCATGGTGTGACTTTTCCTGCTGGCAGGAGCTAGCACAGAGGAAAGGATGTGCTTGCGAAGCTGAAGGTGAAAGCTCTGTTAAGAGCAGCCAGATTTTAGCCTTGTTCCTTTAGCACCTCATCAATCAGGAACGTCATGCATAGCTTATAGTTTTCAAGCCGTGTTTCACAGCAGCGCCTGGCCGTGGGCTGACACACACACAAGTTGAGGGCTCCTGAGCCTGTAAATTTGCAGCAGAAACTGCTCCGGAGGCTGAGCCACACCACGTGTGATGCCCCTGCTCTCCAAGGACAAACACACRGGAGTTGGGCAGGGCCAGGGACAAGCAAGGCAAGCACAGCACCTACCGCGAGGGACAACAGCAAGTGCAGGGCCCGTCTCAGGGGCTGTCCCCTGTTTTGCTTCCATCTCCCAGCAAGGAGCAGCGTGAACACAGCAGATTTCCTATGTCAGAAAAGCAAAAGTATACACAATTTGCAGAAAAGTTAAATTTCTCAGCCTTTCGTCAACCCCAAGATGCAAAAGCCCTGAATGGCTAAAAGTTCTTTTTTCTTTGCACCGCAACATGTTTCTCATCAGAACCTATTCTTAACAGTGGTTAAGAATATTCTTTACAGTGGGGAAAACCAGAGATAAGAAAACTATTAATCTCCAGCTTCCATACAAATAAACAAACTAAATGCCTTGCACACATGGGAAAGAACCAAGAGCACCAGATTTCCGATGCAGAGGCAGCATGTGAGCCAAGACACTTGTGAGATGTTCCCAGAAGTGCTGAGATCCCTGGACGGTCTGTACTGTACAAATGCTGGCAAGTTAAACCATCAGTTAAACTGAAAACCAACAACATAAACACCAATGAGGCTGGAATAGGAGCTGGCTCGCAGCGWTTCTCCCGAGGCTAAAAGTGGCCATTCTAACCCTTTCCTTGTGCTCGGCACAGAAGTAAACCTGGGGTGCAAGGATCCAAAATCTCACAGGAGGTTTGTTCTTGATGGGATTGCACTTATACCTAAACAGTTCAGCTGGCCCCTTTTTTTTTTTCACTTAGGCAGATGCATCTGGTGGATGCACCAGCTGAGGTCAGTAGTGATCCAAAGTCTGAGAACGGGAGAACATCCACCTTCCTCCTGGGGCTTTCACACGTGTATCCGAGGCCTCCATTATTTCTTCTTACAAATTCAGGCTGCTTCAAGCCTCCCAGGCCCAGGCAGAGGCCAGACTGGCCCCCATCCACAGCTCCTGGGCACGCTGAGGAAGGAGGAGGGCTTGGGGCAAAGCTGACACCAAACTGGACCRCAGGGCTTTGCACATGGGAGAGCCCCCGTGCCAGCTTCCATGCCAGGGAAACCTCCGGCCTCGGCACGCGGTGTCCCAGCGCCTGCAGCTTTGCTGCCATCCCTGCTCTTCTGGCCAGGAGCCACTCGGGGCGAGGCGAGTGCTGTGCCCTGAACCGGGGCACGAGGAGGGAGAAGCCAGTGCCAGGGCAGGGCTGAGCTGCCAGCGGAGCTGGGCACTGCGACCAGTGCAGGGCAGGCGCCGCGGGCAGGAGCCTCCAGGCTCGTGTCCCCTTTGCTCCATCTCTGCCCCTTCCCTGCAAGAACAAAGCTGGTGGCCACTGTCTTTCCATAGAAAAGGCCTTGGCAGCTGTTGTGCCCTGGTAAAAGAAAAGTCTAAAAACTTAAAATGCTAAAAAGTGCCTCGTGTGCCTCACTATAAATAGCAGAGGCAAAATAAGGGCCAAAAACGCTGCCGAGGCGGCTCTTTTCTCCCTACCTGCTCTCACCTGGCACCATGCRGGTCACCCAACGTGACTCCCCACGTGACCGAGTTGTTATCTGAGATTTCGGTAGCCGCTGTTCTAGGAGGCAGAATTACAGCCACTATTTTTTTTCATGCTGTAATCTAACTCCAGAAAGTAATCCAACCTGCACGGCGCTACGCTTTGAGGCTCGCCGAGCATCCTTGACCTCCGAACCGCGTTTTSTCCCCAGGGATTTGCAGGCGCGTGGCAATGCAAGACCAGTAATGGAGGTAGAGTCCACCACGTACTCCGACTTCATCTCCTGTGACCGGGCTGGTCGGAGGAACGCCGTCCACGATATCCAGGGAGATGCGACCGCTATCAGCATGCGCAAGCTGACAGGGGACATCAGTGACCTTTCCATCGAGGGAGCAGGTGAGCTGCCACCGACACCAGCAAACGTAGCTCAAGAGCCAAGGCCGGGGGCAAGGCACAAGCTGTTGGGATCTAATCTCTGCTTCTGGCTTAGTTGGTTCTGGGCAAGTCTGTGATTCTCCCAGACCTAGGGCCCCTTGCAAGGAGCACCATGGGCTTGAGCTCCTGAGCACTGCACACTCCAAGCAGCCCCTTTGCTAGCAGGGTTTGCAGAGGCACTGCTGTTCAACAGCACAAGACTGACCAASAGCAACCCCAGGGCAAATTACACATCAGACCTTAGACTTCCTTGGGCAGGGTTTTTTTTTTTTAATTTACCTTAATATAGTTCCACACTATTTTAAATAACAATAGAAATAATTTTAAGCACCAGTCAACCATCTCCAAACCTTTCCCTGTACCCCTAACGTGGCAGCAATGTCATCCCTCTTGATAACTGCTAACCAGCTGATGGCTCAGGAAAAATAAACCCCAGCCCTGCTCAAAACATAGGGAAACCACCTAGTCTGTTTTCAGCAACAAGAGCCAAAATACACAGCAGAAATGCAGAGCCCTTGCTCTTTCTCCACTCTAAGCTACAATAACTATAACTATACTATAACTATAATAGCATTTTGATTTTGTAACTAGAAAAATGTTTTGAAACATGTTACCCCAGCTGAACCTCTTTAATGTCTATAACGGAGCCAAGCACAAATAAGAGCTCTTCCAACAGAGTGACTAGGTTAATCACCACAACGTCTTAAAGACGTTCCTGGAACCCTTACAAGCTGCACTTACTGTTTAGACAAGGAGAGCACATCCCATCTCAGAAAAGGATAATGCTGTAGGACTCCYGTGTCTATGCACCTTGGAGTTATTTAAAATCCTTGCAACTTCCTGACACCTCCAATGCTCCCTCCCAACATCACCAGCTATTCTGAGAAGTTTTTGCAGTCTAGGGCCATGAAGGGAGAGCCTGATACTCTTAGGCCAAATAGCTGGTCAGAGGAAGCTCTTCAGCTGGCAATTTGAGTAAAATAAGCCTCAGTGATGATTACACTCCGCTGAGGACAGAAGTGATTAATTGTRCTTTATCCCCAATCTTCCCCGCTGCAGAAAGCCAACCAGATGCCTCTTCTCCTGAGAAGGACCCTGGAGCAAGACCAAAGGGACAAGACAACAGTCCCTCCCCCTGAGAGCCTGCAGGGGTGGGATGGGGCAGGAGGAGGGACATGCTGTAAACCTTGAGCAAGAATTTACTATTGAACCTGCAGAAGAAAACTACCATGGAACAACACGTTCTCTGTCAGAGGCCTCTGCTGCAACTATTGGCCTCAGAGAGCTGCAGGATGCTGCACAAGGAGTGGCACCTCCAAGAGACTTCTGCTCCTCTTCYTAACAACTTAGAACAACAGTGGTTGTAGTGGTATGAGCCATTCTCAAGATGCCTTAGCTGCAACTTTCCTCTATAGGAAAACACAATTTTAGTAATAATATACACAGACTTTCCTGTCCAAGGTACCTTCTTATTTCATAGACTTAGACATTATTTATGCTTTGTTTCCATAGATTAGGAGCTTAGATTTGGGGTTTTTCTAAGTATCACCCTTATTTTGCATCTTAGATCTGAACTGGCCTGTCTGCATTGCCCCTAGTCACAGTGGGCAGCAGGGAAGGGACCCGGTCATGTTCATGTCAAGCACCACTCACCTGTGTTGCTGCCACTTAGCAATCAGAAAAGGACCAAAGTGCAGGTGTGGGGATGAGCTCCACATCCAGACCCAGCAGCATCAGCCACACAGGCATCTTTTTCTTTAGGTTTTAGCATTTTAAGATATTGTTAAAGGGAAGGGAAGAAAAAAAATGCTGTTTTGACTGTTGCAGTTGAGGTTTATCCATGCAAGCTGCTAGCTGAGAAGTGTTTATCTACAGAAAGATCTCACCCCATTTTCTTTTTGGAGACATGTTTTGTGTTAAAGATGGTTTGATAAAACTATATATGCTGTTGGAATAAATAACACAGCCTTCAAGTATTGAAGTTGAAGGTGTTTTTCTGCCCAGATCTCTCTCCATGCTCCATTCTGCCTTCTAGCAGGTTGAACTGCAGGGAGGTTATACCAGCTTACGCTACAGGAAGACAGGGAGCTGGGATAGAAGAGTCCCTTCCATTTGGGTCCATGAAACTCCTGATGTCTGCAGCATCCTGTTGGAAGCAGATCTAAAGCCAGGCACAGAGGGTGCTGAAAAGTCAACTTCAACTTTCCCGAGGTTTGCTGCAAGGCAGGTCTTTTCTCATGAGTGTTTAATTTTGTTTTGGAGCTGCTCCTATACATTACTGTTATTTTGGTCAAGTACAGTAAAGCCAGCTTAGGGTTTGGCAGGGTGGCCTGGTGGAAACATTCCTGGTAGGAAGCAGTGTCTTCTCTCACTCTGGAGAGAAAGAACTTGAAGTTAGCAGTACTAGTCCCAGCCCCAGAAAGAAATAATTCAGCCAGAGCTTYGGAGGATGAATACAGCCCAGCTGGGATCTACCACCAAAGCAGTTGGACAGACTGGGGCAGGGGCCAGGCAGAGCTGGCCTGAAAAAATATTCTCCAATAGTGACACACAAGAACAAACATCTCTTTGACAGGCAAAGGAAGAACAGAATGTTACAAGTTCGAGACTTATCAAAGAAAATAAGGCCATAAATAAGCAGAGAAACTGCAGCCAGACAGAGGGAGAATTGTCTGTGAGCCTCTCAGAAGTGATGGCTACAGAGCCAGGACAGAGATGYATATAGCTCTCTCCCCCAGAGGAAATGAGGATTTGGCAGCCAGGTAAAAGCTACATCTGCTTTTTGGCAACTACAAACTCAGTTCCTCAAGCTGCTGGATACTATTGCTGCTCCGTTCCCAAACGGCATCCCAAAGGCTGTTCCCATTTCCCCTGCTCTGGGCAAGCAGGTACCTCCTGCTCTTTTTTGACTGCACAATTCAGTTACTAGCCCCACTTCCAGCTCTCCTCACTTCCACTCAGCAGCAGTTCTGGCTCACACACAAGAAGGAAGCTGAAAGGCAGAGCAGGGGCACCRTGTATCACACAAGACCCGAGCACTCAAACACAGGCTAATTTTAGGTCTCCCTGGTCAAAATCCCTTTGCTCTGAAATTATATTTAGCCAGGACACCAGCGACCTGTTTGCTGGGTAGCCTCAGGGGACAGGCAAGAGGCATCAGGTTTCCCCTGCGAAGGGGCCAAGTCAGCTGCCACCTCTGATTGTGCTGAGACACCAAGGGCGTCAGATTAATCCAGTAACATCCTGACTCGCAAAGCTGCTCACCACACAGATGCTCTGAGCCTGGGATGGCAGTGGAAAATACAGCATTCAGGTGCTCCCYAAACTAACCACACACTAAATTTCAAAAAGCCTTTCAGAAACCATCTCCTGCAAGCACAGCAAAGGAGTGCAGGCACCTTCCCMCTTGCTCACACAGTATTAACATTCAAAATGTTCTGGCTTGGTAAAAGGAGAAATTGAGCTCTCAGAACACTACATCACACTTGCCCACTAATCTCTTACCATACCAACAGTAAGATGGGCCACACTGTAGATCATAGACCATCATGCCAGTGTTTTTTGAACAGAAAGAGAACATTTCTATTTTAATATAAATTTGTTATTTTATTAAACAGAATTATCAATCGTCCAGAATCCAACCAAATAACTGTTCTTCAAAAACAACTTTTGGAGAAAAATTATGTAAAAATCCTGGGTCTAACAGCAACCACATTCTTAAAAGTGATGACTTATTTGCTTTATGAAAGTAACAAACTCACTCTCTCATATCTATATATACATATAGGTGCATATATGGACCATGCATTTCAGAGAAGCATTTCATTCACTTAAAAGACTAATAAAGAAGCCCCAAATTGATGGAAATATTCCCAGCAACAGATGGCTGCTGGTCAAGACTGGCGCAGTCCATCTTGGCCACTCTCTGCAGTACTGCTGACCACAGCCCTTTGTCAAAGGCAACTTTTGGTATAGTGTCTTTGGAGTACACATCTTTGCAGCACCTGGGATATTAAAGCACACCACACTCATACATCCCCTCCTCAAACACATTGGGGAGGTCTTTGATAGTGGAAAAATTGCAGCTTTCTCTGGAGGCATGGCTCTATTGCATATTAAGYGAGAACACCAAATATAATGCACCAAAAGCACTTAGGAATTTTGGTGAGGGTTTCCTGATGAATTCTCCACCAAAATGAAGATTTGACTTCTAGCCAGCACTGTGGTTATGCGAGAGAAGCAAGTGAGATGAGATCTGAGTCAGTATTTGATATTGGGCCCCAGCTCATTAATTTACTCATTTAGTTTCAGTGGTTCCTAAAGATGACCTCAAGYATGGAAGAGGGCAGCATGGCTAAAGAGGCATCAGTCACAATAAGTCCTAAACAAAGATGCACAAAACAGCAGAAAGCAGCTCTCAGGAATTCTCCAGGCTGAGGACAGAACTGAGCACTTCTCAGAATGCAGRTTTTGACCCAAAATAAAGTATGTCAAAGTATGCATGGCTGAGCACATGCATGGGCTGCTGTTAGCCCACCTCCAGCCCTGAGCCCAAGGTTTGTGCTTTTGTGGCAGTGACATTGTAAGGCCTGATACACAGAGTTCTGTATTCAAGAATGCCAAAAAAAGGTATTTTTAAATGCCCTTCAGACCTGTGTATAAGTGTGGCAGCTTCTAGCTTGTTCTCAATCCAATCTTGTTAGTACAAGACTAAGCATAGGTAAATACAGTGGTGGTCAAACTTTCCTATCTGCATGGCTGGGATTAAACCTCTTTTTCTGAGTTCCTGCTTACTGCTTTTCAGGATTAAGTCACCTTTTCCCCAGAAAAGCAAAGGTTAATCCTGGCCACAGTCACAAAGGCTAAGGCAGGTTAGTGGGTCATTAAGTTAAAGCAGAGGGGGGTAAAAATAAGAAAAAAAAAGCAGAGAATGTTCCTCTCTTCTCACTTACTCTACAGATAAATTGGCATTTGAAGGGAAGTCRGGCCAGGAAGCAGTTTAGTCTGCTTGCACAACAGCAATATGGGCAACTGGATATCCATTTGGGAGATGGTATGTAGGGAGTGATAGGTGGGATAGATCATAGTAGCCCAATTCTGCTACAAAAGTTAATATAGGGGGTAGCAATAATAGAGACCAACTCTGGGGACCTTCTCCTGCTGCTCCCACCGGCACAGAGATGAGTCAACCAGAAGGGTCTTTGCTCTGTGCTGCCTGGCAGAGCTGCATCAAGATGCACTGGGCACCATCCCATAGGCTTCATAGAGGGTATTGAGAAGTTCCTGCTTTTCTTGCTCAGGTAAGAAGCTGGATCGAGCTGCATTGATGTTCTGGAAAGGCAGAAGAGGAACAGATAGGAGACATTTAGATACATGAGATACAAATRTGATTGTGCAGATCCAAATATCTGTCTCTAAGCATTAGCAGGAAGGAGGGCATAACATTTGCCATTTATAGACACATTTCCATGGCTTCATTCTACAACTACTCTGGCCCACTACTAGCAATAATCCTAAGTGGAAGGAGGCAGACAAAGATCTCCAAAGGTTTCAGAGTTTTTAAGGATATGCACTTCAGAGCTATCCCTATGCTCCAAACTTCCCTTTGGATACAGGGCTTTTCACAGCAGTTGGTGGCAGCAGGCTGAATGCTGCTGCAGTGACAAAGCTGCCTCACTACACAATTTAACATGCTYGTCTCTCATGCAGGGACATTTCTTTTATTACACAGAAATAGCCTGGCTTCTGCAAGAGCAGAACAGGACAGCTGGAAGCAAAGCAGCTGGACAGCAGYTCAGAGCCGTCCCCTGTTCCTCCTCCCAGGTCCAGAGCATGTCATGTCTATGGGAGAGGAGGATCCTGTTGTTCCTTCAGCCAGGGGTCAGAGCAGAACTAATGCTCTCTTGTAAAGCACATCCTGAATTTCCAATTCCAAGCAAAGATTCCCAGACAGTAGCTAAATTCACACATCTGTCTACAGACACATGTAAGTAGAAGCTATCAAATCAGCATGGATCTCATGCTAACCAGGAAAGCCTTACTTAGTACCCAGACTGTAGGGCTGGGTAAGTGTTGGGAGCTTGATTTARGTAATGGATTAGGGACAGGTTTTAGGATGTGTTGAGATCATAAATGACTGCATATGCCAAGGTCAAAGCCAACTGTCACTTTGTGTTCAGTTGTATGTCAGGTCATATCAAGATTATTGCATATTCATGTTACATGTGCAAAAAGCACAAATGCTTTTGTACATGCTGAATCTTAACTAATTTCTCAGGTCTTCAAACCAGATACCTGCCTACCTGCAATTCCAAGTCCAAGGGCAGGGGAAAAAATAAAAAAAGAAAAGCTAACAGGCAACAAGCACCTTCCTTCCCTACTGCTCAGATGTGTCTTCAGGACTGCAACAGGCACTTTCCACTCTTACCCATTCTCAACAAAGCTCAAAGCAGTTGACCAGAACATGTGYAGCACATTTGGAGTCCTCAGACCCCTCCTGCTTTCTGTATTTACAASAGTCATCTGTCTGCATGCACAGTACTCTGTGTTTCCCCTCCAATGTGGGGTGCTCACAAGGAAAATGCAGGATTTTCTTACTTCCTGTGAAAACTCCTCAATTTACAAAAATATAAATAAGGACAATCATTCTGGGCTGCCCTCAGACAACTGCATAGCATCCAACTGAGGTCAGCTTACCACTCTCCTGAACTCCTCTTCAGTAAAGCCCATGTACTCCTTTAATATGTTGTAATCCTTGTCAATAGTGGAGTTGAAGATGAGGGGGTCGTCAGTGTTTATGGAATAGTTAGCTTGATCCTTCTTAAATCTGTAAGAAAACAGAGTTTAGAATGGGAAGATGCTGGATGTGGCAATGTTTGCATACTCCTCAGGAAAAAAAAACACAGTAAAAGCAAAAAAAACATACTGCTTAGTCTCACCACTGCTTTTCACTGATCTGCTTCAGCAGAGCAAGGAGCAGGGGGTCAGGGGATCTGCTGCTTGGATGTTCAGCTCAGATCTCATGCACAAACTCAAGCTAATGCCCCCTGTGAAGCAGCTGAAGCCCAAGAAGGGCTGGAGCAGACGGGAAGGCCTCACACTAGAGGGGTTCACACTTATTCCAGCTATACCGGATTCCTCTGTGAGGAACAGCAAGGACACACAAATCTAACCACTTACAAGAATATTGTATTTCCCTTGCAAAGCAATAAGGCAGCTATAAGTAACTAGGATTTGGGTTGGATACTTTGAAATTAAACATTTTTAAATGTCTTACTGTGTTAGTGGGTGTTTCCTGAAGTCTGGAAGACATGCTCCAGTAAGGTAACTGGACCAAGGGCAGACCTGTTTGTGGGAGTTAAAGAAAAAACAGAATTAGCTATGCAGATCTGGAATACTGTTGGATATGCAGATAGCTAAGAACGCTGGTCAAGAAAGATATAGGTTTACAACACCTATATTCACTGCTAGCCCTCAGCCCCTGAGTTGCCTGGACCATGTACATCCCAAAATCCAGATGGGAGAAGTCTACAGCCTCTGCTACAGYGAGTGGGCAATGGCTGAGGGGACATTTCAACTGCCAACTAACCACTAGTGGTCTGTGGACCRTAACTAAGAAAACACTGAAAAAGGGAGAGAAAAAAAAATCCTAAAACTAAAAACAAAAGCCACAAACAGGAACATTTCTCTYTGCTCCACAATTCCTGCAAGCTGATGGGAGCTCCAGGGCTTCACACAGTAAGGATCCTGATATGTCACCAGGTGTCACTGTACTTCTGCTATGGAGCTTTGGGCAWCTGGGTTCAACAACGGTGCTGTCTAGATGTGGTCAGCACTTGGGCATCATGCAGCAGCCTRTATTCAGGGTGTTGGGCTGAAGCACAGACAAGGGCCAGTTTTCCACTCAGACATCAGGTGGTCATGTCCACAGGATACATCCGTACCTCAAAATGCATCTTTCTTTTCAACAGCTCCTTGTAAAGCTCAGGGTCTTCCAGGACATGGTAGCCATGGCCAATGCGCTCAGCCTTCAGGAGGYAGACTGCCTAAGAGCAAGGAGAAACACAGCTCTGAGCTCAGGCTGAGCTCCCATGTGATATGAGAGCTCCCTGCCCCACCACCCCACCAGACTGCAGCCTGTATATCTGAAATACAGCCCAGGAGATCCTGTCAAGAACTCCTCAAGCTGGATTTCTCTCTGGTCCCCACATTTTTGCTCCCTTATGAATACAGAAAGGACTTGGGCTTCTCCCTCCACAAAATTCTACTGAGTAAGGGCGTCTTCCCACCCCTACTGCTCATCTCACAACACAAGGACACCCCAGCGCCCTTCTGCTCCCCGCTCTGCCCGGGGCTGTGATCTCCTCTCACCTCCTTGATCATAGCAGGCGGTCCAGCCTCCCCAGCATGGACAGTTCGATGAATGCCGCATCTTTCAGCTTCCTGAAAAGCAAGGCAGGAGACATAGCCRGCCAGTCACACAAAGCAAGGTCAGCCAACTGCTTTCAGCGGATACCTTTCGCCCTGACTAGCGCCCCAGCAGCACAGCAAGGGAGATCAGCAAGGCTGGGCCAGGAGCTCCCAAACCAGACTCCACACCCTGCCAGATTTGCATTCTCTCAGGCTGGGGCTGTGCTGYAGCACAGCTGGAAGAGGAGAGACCGGTAACACCACAGAGAAACTCAGAAAGCCTGATTACCTTCCACGGGGAGCCCAGCAGCTTCCCAGGGTTTTTTAAATAACCACTGAGCTCACCACTGTTCTCCTTTCTGAAGGAGAGGAACTTTAAGCTCTCCTCCCTGTGCCCATTTGCCTTCATAAGCAAAGCTTGTAGGAATTCCTGTCATTGCTGCTTCTCTTCGACTCTTTTGGCCAACGGCAGCCAAGTCTGACAAGTAATTTAAGAGCTACCAGGGTAGGAGAGTGATACCCAGAGGCCGCGTGCCTCACTGCTGCAAGGGGCTGGGGACAAGTCTCTGCAGCCAGCACCGTGGCTGGGAGGTTCTGCAGACTCCAGGTGAGCAGCACGTGGCCCATTTCAGGCCAGTCTCCATGGATGTCCTGACAAAATCCCCAGGGACACTCCATCTGCAGCCTCTCCAGGGACCTCCTGGGCCTTGGGAAGCTGAGCTCCCTCCTGCCTGGCCTCGGGGGAAGCCTGGCACTCACCTTGCTGTAAAAGGGCCAGCTATGAGCAGCCTGCAAGCCCCAGCTTGCATCAGACAAGTTTCCCAGACACTCCACAGCTTTTTATTTATTTATGAGTTACAAAAGAGTTCTCAGCTCCTCCCCTGCTGCCTGCCCAGGCCCAGCAATGGTGAGGTCAGGCTCTGCTGAGGACACCCCCACACAAGCCCTGCACCCATCTGCCAACAAGGCAGCCTGTAATCCTGCMTCCTATTCCAGGCAGGGTTAACTCTTCCCCAGCAGCTGATATTTTGTCACTTCTGAGTAAAAAATCCCTCTGGCCAAAGCACTGGACAAGGATTAGAAATCAGACTCACACCAAAGCTGGGATTTTCTAATTGTTTCCAAGAATCTTTCCTCTGCCTGCTCCCAAGACAACCATCCCTAAGTATCCCAGCAGGACTCAGAAGCAGAGATGCAAGGGAAGGGATTGGGAAAAGCACGTGGAGTGTGATCCTCCACCACTTACCCTCCTGACTTCTGGAAATTAATCTCCCTGAGCTGTCCCCATTGACTGCATCCACAAGGGAGCTCATGTTTAATGAGCAACTACAGACACAGCCTCTCCACAGGGACTTGCCTCCTCTTTCCCTGGACATAGATATCTAAATATTTAGCTGCAAATTCTTCCTAAGCCAGCACTTCCAGTCCTCCTCTGCGGCCAGCATTCACAGGCMAGGTGTCACTGTTACCTCTGATTTCCCCTCTTGCAGCAGTCCCCAAAAGCTCCCAGGCAGAACATGACCMCCCCAGGAACTTTAGCCCAAGGGACACATCTGATCATCTCATCACAAGCCTCTCCAGTTCCCTCAGATCTATTAYGTATCACAGAGCACAACAGCAGGATTTTCAGGCAGACATTCCACTGCCACGTAGGGCAAGAGGGGCTGATGTCCTGGAATATGGTTTCCCTTCAGTATCTAAGTGCCCTGACAAGTTGCTGATGAAGCAACAAGAATCTGCATCCTTAAAATGGGGAAGTTGAGCTGGGGTATCACAGGCATAGACAGGACATGATGAAACATCCTGACTTACCCATCAGTTACTAAAACCCTGTTAAGATACCCCATGCTAAGATACATGCTAAGATGGGGTTAAGATGCTGAGCATGAGAACTGCTCAGTTCATCTTGTCTGACACAGCACAGCAGCACACACAGCACAAACTGCAAACGTGGCACTTGCTCTACATCATTCAGGTGCTTTCCATCAGTTGAAGACTGAAGGACTAGTCTGCTCCACATAAATGTGGAGTTTCTGCTGCAGTTTCAGAGAGCACCATGAGCAGACCCCATCTAACAGGAATTAGAAGCATCTCTGCACAGGAACACAAGCTCTGCCCCTGGCTTCCCTCTGGGACAGTGCTCTGAACAACCTGCTTAAGTAAGGATGTCTGCCATTAATCATTTAGAATTATACACAGTAATACTCCTGCTCTTTAACAGAATGATTTTAGTAACCTCAAGGACTTTTCAAGCTGCATCAGCTGTTTAGGGTCTGAATAAAGTGCAGCATGCCTCCACAGCAGGAAGAGCTCAGTGTTATAATTTCTTACAATATCTTTGAAGAAATCTATTCGACAAACCTCATAAGCCTTCCTATGCTCCRAAGAGTCCACCTTCACGCACTCATCCCCTGCCAGGTCTATGGCTACCACAGAGTTGTTTCGATACTTCTTACAGAGCTCCACCACCTCCGGGGACCAGCCTGGAAGAGACAGCATCACCATTCAGGAGGAAGCATTGACAGGAGGTGCATCCCGAGCACGTTTCTAAACATATTTTGGACATACAGCTAGAATAAGAGCTGTTTTCATTGGTGTTTTCTATGATTGGACACTGAAAAAGTTAAAATCCTAGGAAGATTTGCCACCTTCAACCAAATAAAAGCTGCACATTGACCAGTCTATTAACAATAAAAAAGGAAAATGTACTACATTTGCCAGGCATAAAACTGCTCTCATTATGTTTCTTACCACCCCAAAACACTCTTTAGAATAAATGCCATAAAATGCTGTGCAGGKAGTCTCTCAAATCATTCTTGAGCTCTGACACAGTCACAAGCAAGGTGAGGGGAAAGGGAAGAACTACTTTGTCAAAAGGATTGTATTGGTGAATGGTTTGGGTTGGAAGAGATCACTGGAGGTTCTCCACACAAGCACCATTATCCCACTGCAAAGCATGCTTCACTCTCCCCACCTGGATGGTGGATGCTGTCTGACAGACAGGAGCYGTTTAACCACCTGGAAGAGTGACCTTTAATGCTGACGAGGTTTTGTAGCTTTATGGCTTCAGTGAAGACAAGAGTAATAATCACCAAACAGCTACTTCAGTTACCTCTGATCAGGAGAGAGTATGATCTCCAAGAAAGCAGATTGCATCTATTAGCTGATACAGCACTTACCCTTAGCAAAAAGGCCAAGAGAAAGATACACTCTAGTGTTAATTATTAACACTGTGCACCAGTTGTACACGTTAATATGACTCTGAATCATAAAAAATGCAAACTACTTCACCTTCCTGTTTCCTCAATTTCATACTTGTCAAGTTATGGTGACATAATATGCCATTATTTTATTGATAAGTTTAATATTCACCAGTTCTGGCTGGCATCCTTGCCCTTCTGTCAACACTTCATAAATTAGGGTGACTTCTCACTGTGCAGCAAATCCCAAAGTCATCCCAAGAGTCACCAAAGACTCTTATGTCAAGCACATTGCTAACTCCAGGTAAGAGCTTCTGCCCTGGAATGACATTTTCAGAGGGTTCCAAGAGCAATTCCTACTGCTGTGTAAGTGCATGTGCAGTGGCTGGTTTTATCAAATGCATTTAAAATGTAGCTAAGTTTATTTCACGTGTTTTGAGCTGAAATCAGCAGAGTTCACAACCAGCAATGCTTTTGGCTAACCCACAAGATCAGCTAAGGAGAATACTTTTGTAGTCCTGGGATATCCAGTTGGGAAGGTTCCATCATCCTGACTCCATAGGAACGGCTAGATGTCATCCTTGTTCCTCCTCCCATGACCTTTTTTTTGTGTGTCCTTACCCCACGCAGTGTCCTGGGTGCTCAGAAGACCCAAGGAGCCTCCCACCAGCCACTGCTGTCAGCCCAGCAAATCTGAAGATATTTTACAAGGGGAGGCCAAGTGCCCTGAGGAAATCCCCAGCCCTTGGGCAGCGAGTGAGGTACTAGCAGAAAGTACCTCTCCCATAGCAGAAGAAAGGGAAACCCTKCAAGTTTCTTCAGCAAGACTCTTGAGCTAGCTCTTCAGATGCTGATCGTGTCAACAGATTTCCTCTTGCACAACCAGCTGGCCATTTCATAGAATCAGAGCATAGTTTCCTCAGAGACTATAAAGTCCCCGACTTCAGAAAAGTGCCTTTGTTCCCAGCCCCATCTCCCCTGCACAAAGAGGAACAGTCACCATGTGCCCACAGCCCCATGGGGAAACCAGAGCCACGGGACTGGTGCTGRCCCTGCAGGTCTGCGGGGACCTGACCCCATGGGACTTCACACACACACCACCAACACGTCAGGAAAGGGGAGCAGAGCAGCSGGTGGGCTGCAATACATTACTTGGCATATGGCGCATGCAGCATAGAATAGACCTGGCTTTGATGTGGAAATCCCTTTCTCCGTCCTGCAGTCCCTGGTTAACGAGGCTAACAACTTCATCTGGAGTCAGGTCTCCCCTGCAGCAGGAGGGAAAAAGAAAGGAGTCAACRGCAGACCAGGAGGACACGGTGCTGGAGACCCACCAGGGTGCACACAGCACCTGCAGGCCACCCCAGGCAAAACCCCACACTGCTGCCTGCAAGGGGCACGGGAGGCTGCCGCAGAGCCCACATGGCCACGGGCTCCTGCATGGGTGTCCGGATGTTCAGAGGAGCGGCCGAGCTCCTGACGGGGCCAGCCCGAGCTGGGAAGCATCCCGCACACTGCTCCATGCCCAGACTTGCGAGGTGGCAGGCGAAAAGCATGCATAGATGCCTCCYAAGGCAGAGGTGAGCCTCAGGCAAGGACATCTCCTGGCTACTCAGGCAAATGGGCAGTCGGAAGCGTCTTGGCAAAACAGGCCTGGCGCGGCTCCTGGTTGCAAGGTGGAGACCACCAAGAACAGGGCTGCATTTTGGCCCTGCTGGGGCAATGAAAGTGTTAATGGCCACAGGGAGGTGCTGGCCAAGGAGAGAGCAGCTCTCCCACGCTCGCCCGCAATGGCACATGAGGGGCCACGCGGCTCAGCACCGTTTGGGTCAGMGGTGTGTGCAGAAGCGGGGTCAGCTCGCAAAGCTGGGACCAAGGATCCAGCGCCGGCTCCTGCTGGCGCCTGCCCGCTGCCTCAGCCACCAAGTCAACACGTCCAACTCCAGCTTCCCTCATGCAGAGGTGGCTCCAGCCAWGAATTAGGCATCCAAAGCAAGGCAGAGATATTATGAGAAAAATAAAATACTAGTGGCAGGGATGAGGGACGGAAGAGCCTTCTGCTGCAGTTGAGGGGGCAGAAGGCTTCAGTCACCCCATAGCCCACTGTCRAGCAGCGCAGCCACAGGTTCTCCCATGAGGAATCTCCCCGATCCCTCCCGGCCTCCCCAGCTGGTCCCAGCCCCACTCACTCCGCCTGGCCCCAGGGAATCGGCTCCACCTTGCAGTTGGCCAGGAGGTGGGGGCTGTACCTCACCTCCACGTAGGCCATGCCCTCCTTCRCCTTGGTTTCCACCAGCTCATAGGCGATCCTTCTCACCGCCTCGCGGTCACCCCTGCGGAGACAGGGACAGGGCTGCATGGGCCGGGGGTGCTGGCCCGGTGACCACRGCCACCACAAGGGCTGGCATCCCCCGGCATCCCCGTGGCCAGATAGCCAGGGCGAGCACACGGTACTCACGCAATAGCCGGCATGTAGATGTTGAACTTCTCCAAGAACTTGGAAAACGTCAGGGGCGTTTTATAGCTGACATGCTCCAAGAGCTCCTCCACGGTGCTGCCGGGGAGAGGAATGCCCCTTTTCCTAGGAAAGGAGCAACACTTCACTGTCAGGAAGGGCTAGCGCGTGTCTGATCAGCTTATTGTGAGGAGCAGCTGCAGGCAGAGCCAGCAGCACTAAGCCCTCTCCTCGCAGGAGCCACCCAGCACGAGCTGTCCTTCCAGAACCTCCCTGTAGATGCAGCCTGACCTCCATGGGGAGGAGCAAGGCGATCCACAGGCGCGTGGCAGCGAGCCCAGCGTGACCCAGCACCAACACGCCTGGCACACGTTGTGGCGGCTTTTTATGGCTTCAGAAGGAGTCTTATTTACAAAGACTCTGGATTATTTCTTGGCACTTCTGAGGCCTAGAAGCAGAACTGCCAAAACACGAGGGAGGTTGGTTCCCCTTTGCACAGCCTCCTCCATGGGTCAAGCCCCCCTGAACATTAGTGCTCCATCTCTGCAAGCAGCACACGGCTTGGGTGGACAAAGTGTCCCTGGAAGCAGCCAGAGCATCTCCATGGACTGCTCCTATTGATGGGGACAYTTGCCAACGTTACTGCACATTTCCAAGGCAGGTTTCAGCCTCCTGCCACCCCCTTCTTGCATATTAATGCTAACACAAATTAGCAATTACAACTAAGGTAAGGTTTCTAATCCTCTTTTCTCCSAGTCCTGCCATGATGAATTACAGTTTCTTTGCTAACAAAGACCTACAGATGGTTTTAGCCTCCCAACGCCATTCCAAGGAGCAAACTGCAGCCAAGCAGCCCAAAAGACTCTGCTCCCGGCCTAACTGAACATTACTCACTTCCCACAGTTGGGCTGGAAGGAAAACAGCCTTACGCTGGGCACTCACCTGCAATGAGCACAGATTAAGCTGCTGGCACTCAGCAGATGTTTGCTAGTGCCAGGGCATTGGCTTTCTTCCCTGTCTTGCCCTTTTCATCTCAAGGATGCATCCTTTGCCTCTTTTGGAAAGAGGGTCCACATCTTCCTCCACCTGCCTATGCAAAGTTTCCCCCCAGGGCCCTGTTTTCCTGAATTCCTTCAAATGATTCCCAACAGACTGCTGCCGTGCAGGCAGAAAGCGCAGCCCTTTGGGATGATCCGCACACACGGTGTCCCTGGCTGACGAGCCTTGATGGCCAACGCCACCATGGCTTTGGGGTTACCGTCCCCCACGTCACCCTGCCCGTTGGCCCAGCCCACTGCAGCTCTGCAGAGCTGCCTGCTGCTGCTCTAGATGGGTTTGTGGAGCAGACCAGGCAAACTCAAGCAAAAGTTTCTAAAAATTGCAGAGTTAAACCACTGCCCATGGGGGCTATCCCAATGGCTCCGTTTTATCTGTACATAGTCAGCCAGCAGYTAGTAAACTTGCTTCCAGCTCTTTACCTTTAAAAACAGACTGCAAGCAGCTTGATATCCAGGCTGAGGTTAGGGTAGTCTTCTACAGAGCCCTGTTGGGTTTAGTTTTGTCTGCACACAGAGTCCACAAATAGAGAGCATGGTTGTTTCACCCAAAGGGGATGCGACCTGCAGTCTGGCAGTTCTGAGGGATACAAGGACCTTTTACAATACACTAAAATATAGCATGCACTCGAGCAATGAAGGTTTCAGTTCTAAGCCAAAGAAATGTGGGGCCCTCAAAGGGCTGATATCTCCCAAGCTTCAGGGCTCCCATGACTCTCCTGGGAGCCATACAGGCACTTGTCCTCTGCTGGCAACAGAGGCTGAAGGAAGCTGGAACAGTGACTCATCCATGAGGACTTTTACCTCCACACTTCAGCCTGCAAACTCCTGCGATAAGGAGAAAGCCAAGAGAAATCCTTACTCAGCTTCCAACGTGGACATCCTGCAATAAACGAGACTGACTTTTCTGATCTACCTTACTTATCCCAACAGCACTGCAAAGTTTATGGCTGGTTGCCCATCAGAGAAGGACCTTTACAAAGGTTACTCCCTCTTGGAATCACATTGCCTTGGAGCCTACCGGGCTTACAGGATGCCATAACCATTTCCTCTCTTCCTTAAGAATTACTTCCTACCCAAAGTTACCCAAGTTGCACCTAAGAACCATTTCCTGAGATCTTTAAACTTACCCTAATCTTGATCTGAGGATATCTAGTAGTGCTCATTAGCTTTTCAAACACTCACAGCTAGAAGTCTTGAGGCTGTTTGTTTGTTTCCAGCTGTGGAGCCAGGTTCTTGCACCAGTTAATCATTTACCCYGGTGCTTCCCGCACTTAAGCCATATTTAAGCAAGAAGGCAAACACGGGCTCAGTCAAGGGAGAGACCTGTATTTAAGTCACTGCTGAGTGCTCTCCTAGGTCACCTCACACTAGCATGACTTTTGGCGTTGGGATCAAACAAAAGGCCATGCTGAACAGCAGCAGTTTGGGGGTCAAACACACAGATCAGCAGATGAGAGGAAAATCCAAGCTACTCCATCAACTATGGTATGATGCAACCACTGAGAGGACATTCCCAAGGAGTTTTCACTTCAAATAACTTTACAATTTGGAACGTGGGAAAAGAAATAAAAAAAATAAAGTAGAACCTGTGTCATTTCCTAGGGATACATTCAAGGCAAACAGCTCTAYATAAATGACACCTTTCTTCTTTGGACATGAGTGGCTCCTCTTAGCTTTAGCGATGACCGCGGTGCTGGGACGCCATGTGCTCATGCACCTCCTATCAGTTCRGCCCAGCTGCAACACCGCGGTCAGGAAAGCGCTGGATACTCTCACACCACGCAGGCAGAGGAGTCATCTGAGCAGACAACACAGCCTGACTACCACCAGCTGCATCTGCTGCCTGCAGAACATGGGGAAAGAGCTGCCTTAGCCTGCCCAAGCAAGCCTTTTGCCTTCCATCTGGGCAAGGAGAAGGCATGGGAGTAGGTATCAACATTTATGACTGCTTGTCCCATGCACAAAGTGAAAATTGTGTGTTTTTTACTGAACAGCTAGAACCTGCTAGCGTCAATGTGTTCCACACTGATAATCAGGCTTTGGTGAAGATAAACCCCAGGGAGCGTCTCCTTCCTTGAAAGCCACTCTATCCAGGTGCACTTTAAGAGGGTTGGCACCTGCTCAAGACATCAAAACACAAAATTATTCCGTGCTAGCCAGAGCTTTCCCCTGCTGTCCACTCACTTGCCAAAGTATAAGATGGTTTCTGGTCTAATGGCTCCATCCAGATGGAGATGAAGTTCTACCTACAATAAAATAAAGAGAAGTCAGTGATGCATTCTTAGAGCCACAGCAAAAGTTGAGATAATACACAGTGCTCCTACAGACATAAACATAGCTAATAAGGGACACAGTCACAAAAAGGAAGTAAAAATAGATTGAAAACTAGTATCATAAAATGTCATTTTGAACACCTATGTATTGTCCCAATACTTCTTTATATTCCTATTGCAACTCATACACTTAAATCTATAGAAATTCAACTATTTGCAGCAATATCCACACTGCTTTAAGAACTGTCCTGTTCCAATGAGGTTTGCATGGCTCAGGAAGAGTGAACAGACCAAGCTTCAAGCACCTCTGTTTTCCATCTGCCTCCTGAAACCCACAGACCCTCAAGCATCAATTATTTTTTTGCAGGAGTTATTACATGAGAACTTTGACCTCACTTCCACGAGTCAACTCCTGATATATTGTTAATTACTTGGTATTATCGCAGCATGTAACTTTTAATCCCGCACAAGGATTCCAGAGGTAAAAGGTGCTGTAAACAATAAAAAGAACAGAATTTRCCCTGTATTGCTTAATAGGCTAGCTTCACAACACAACACTAAGTTTGACTCAGAACAGATTGGATGGTCAATTAGATGACTTTGAAGCTGCTTCCAGATTATTGCTGAAATAATCCAGAAAAAAAAAATCACAGAAAAGAGAAAGCAACAATATATTTTTTCCTGGCTGGGAAGAACATGACAAATGTCATTTGGAAGTAAAGCTAAGGGAAAACATTAGCTGTTTCAGCTAGGTCTTCCCATTTCCAGAACCGTTTAAAGTAACAGGGTAGTGAGCAGCCTACAAAATAACTTTCTTTTTCTTTCATTATTCGTTAACTAGAAGGAGAATCTGAAGCCCAGAGCGAGCACTGGGAAGGAATGGCTACAAGCCTGGCTTTGTTCCCTGCAGGTCTTTAAGATGCAGCTGAAATGAAGCATCTCTGCAGTGASATATCTGCATCTCTGCACTGACTGCCACATCTGCATGGGAACGATTTCAGTTCTTATCATTTAGGAAAGACTAATACATGGTGACACTGGCATACTGCTTTACTCCCTTACTATTAGATGGAAGTCAAGCACACTTAGTCCATCAAAAGTCAGAAAGAATGGCCAAAAAAATGAGAAGTAGTGAATTAAAATAAAAACAAAGCTTTTGCTAGCTGTAACAGTGCAAATTATTCCATGCAGATAACTGCTGCAGGATGTTAAGATTTTAGCAGAATTCAGAAGGACTGGACATGTGTCTGAATAACTAAACCACCCAYGGTTACTCATTAATATCTACAAGCCCCTTGGGGTCAGGTTATGTTATCCAACAATAACCAAGAAAACTGGCAGGAAAATAACTAAGCAGTCCCTACAAGCAGGCTGGTTTCTAACTGTGCTTTTCAAAGCTCTTTTGCCTTCCTCTGAAGGCACCACGACAAGCTGGTGACGGAGGCACAAGGCTGTTCCAGCGTCCTGCTTGGAGCTGCCAATTGCCACCTCTGGAATTTGTGCTCGTGTCCCTAAAGCTTGCACCCATTGCCACCTCTTCCAGGCGTCCTAAACTCTTGCTAAGCACATGGAAATGCCCATTTTCTGCACTCATTTGATTCACAGTCAGCGTCTTCAGTGACCACAGCTGCAAAAGACTGCCACTGTTGGAGGGGGACAGTGCTTGGGGTCAGGCCATCTACATAGGAGAGGCTGCCACTGGGGCTGTGTGCTTGCTGGAGAACAAAACACAGGCGACAGGCTCASAGCAGCAGGATGCATGAGCTTCACTGCAAGCAGAAAATCCAGGCATCACGAGCACCAGCAGGATGGTGAGCTCCTCACAGTACATTTAAACACACACAGCGATACCAAAYACTGCCTCTGCCTTGGCTTGCCAGTTCTGAATGAGGCTAAATTTAATTCCCTCTTGGAGASAAAGGGGGAAAAAAAGGCACCCCCCTCTCCAAGCTGCTGGTCCCTTCAAGGACAGCTCAGYTGCACCAGTCACCTCCTCAGCCATGCGACACAGGACCCCGTGTCACCTCCTGGACAGCCTCCCTGCAAGTCCTCTCCCCGCCACCCTTCTCATTCCACCTACCAGCGCCTCCAAACACGCCTCCACTAGCAGGTAAGACRATACCCCCGTTAGTTCTACTCCTAGGACATGATCTGAATCTACAGAGATGAAGATTTTAAAAGGGCAAAACATGATCTTTCCTCYAAGTTATGCAATTCTGCTTAGTAGGACTCAATGTCCTGAGAAGCAGCAGATAACATATTATGGATATGATCCGCATCAGCAGATGTGGAAGCCTGGCATGTTTTATACTCACAGGCTCCCATCCTAAATTCAAAATTATGCAAGCTCCATTCCTTAAGGTTTTCAACAACCCTTCTGAGCATCTGATGGACTTAGGGGCTTTACTTGCTCCGGGCGGACACAAAAACCAAGCAAGCTGAATCAACAGAGTCTTCTCATTCCAAGTTGCTCGCTGCAAAACCATCCTTGCGTGCAAAGCGCTAAGTGAAAGCAAATTAAGTGGTGTTCTTTATACACACAAGCCACCTGCTTTCTGCTGCAGCAAGATGCCCGTGGAGCAGCAAGACTCCCTAGGGCTCTAGGAGGGGTTTTTTCCTCCACTGTCACCCATTTCTTTGCACCTAAACTGCAGTCACAGGAATGTTAAGAAACTCCTGTGCAACACTAGGCAGCCCCAAACTCTTCAAGTGGTTATTTGGGCTCCACGGAAGCCTTGCCATGGCTACTAGGATTACTGCAAGACGTTTAGCAGAGGTGGAGGTGYCCCTGCATAGGAAGGACTTAGGACAAGCCTGTTTCCTCCCACCTCCTGCCCCAGAGGAGGATGAAATCAGCAGGGCAGGCTGCTCAGTGCACACYGAGTGCTTTATCCAAAACAAACACGCGAGAGGAGAGCCGAAGTGCAAGACGTTCCCAGATACAAGTGGGGGCTGTGGCCTCGCTTCGAGGCAAGGAAAGTGCCCAGACAAAAAACAAAAAGGTAAGAGCAGTTAAAAGGTAACAGCAGTTTTGCTGAACTGCCACTCAGAGATGATGCCTTAAACAAGCAGAGTTGCCTAAGTGGAATATATCCCAACACGGTGCCGAGCGCCACATCTAGAGCTCTGCTCTCAGCATGCAGCGTTACACCCACTGGGCTGTAATAAAACCCTGGTGCGATTCACTAAATACCTAAGTTTTCCTAAAAAGGAGTCCAAAGCTCCTTACAACTCTTCAAAGGTGAGTTCAAGAGATGCAAGATACCACAGGACATGTGTCCTCAGCACAGGCAACTTCCAGTCAGATTGGTTGTGCAAAAAGAGGACATTTCAATTTGTCCTCCAGAAAAGGTTCAGATTAACCACAAATCATGTTTTATTTGAAACTTAACAAGCTTCCAAAAAAATAAATGCAAAAATGAGGTACTTCAGTCCAAAAAAAATGCTTCTTTCAAGTTTAATTAGAATCAATTTAGTGAAATGAAGGGGGAAAAGTTAACTAAACATTCAAAATATTTTCCACTGCAGTCATYCCAAACAGAATTTCCTCTACTACTCTATGGTTTGGTCAGCAAATCATAACAGATCTGTGAAATGCTCATGTACCTTTTATAAGATATAAGAAATCACCAAACTAATTCACTTAAGGGAGTTTATTTACTAGGTGTTCATTTGTTTAGTATTTTGTTTTGCTTTTTAGTGCACTGTGAATGCAATCAGCTAGCAACTAATCACTAAAAAACAGATAGTAAAAGTAAAATTAACCCCACCTTTTATTTTGACCATTCCCTGCAGATGTTAATAGATAAAACCATGCACTTGTTGCACTTGCATTATATAAGAATCCTATCAGTGACTTTGCCCAGGACTAAATTATCCCCTTTTAGTGTGCTGATAAAAGAGCATGTACTTTTACTGTTTTCAATAACAGGAAGATAGAGTCATTATAGTTGCTATTGGTCAGTTGTTAATTATGTAGGAAATAAAGCAGAAAAAGAAATGTTAACACAGGGTCAACCTTCAGCAAGAGATAAAATAAATGCCAACCGCTGCAAAATGAAAATCTGTGTTCCCCTCCAACATTTTTTTTTTTTTTATAAAAAGCACACTGACAGGAGCTATGTAAGTTGCTTTCCACATCATGAATGTGGAAATATCATAAATCCTCATTACAGAAGCGAGGATTGAGAATTCATCAAGAAGGGTAGGAAGTGAAGAGACACGGTATCAGCCCAAGCTTGCAAAGCCCTCAAAGGCATATTGCTAGGCAGATAAATTTGCAAAGATCAAAACGGCCTTGGTTATTGCTGCCCCGTTTGGGGAGCAGGGACAGGGAGGCAATCTAAGAATTCCCCTGCCTCGCATTGGTGAGGATATGAGCAGCCACAACAGCAAACACAAACAAAGCCAGCAAGCCACAGCAGAACCAGCATCTTGGCATCTCCATTTGGTCACCTGGAGGTGACTAAACCCTTACCCATTGAGGGATACATCCAGCTACTGCAAATTCCAGCCCTCCCTCCCCATTCCCAGGTACAAAGGACATATCAGAGCTGGTCACACCTACCCCAGGGCACATCATGGCCCGGGTAACAAGGTTTGTCCACTGCTACTGAGAACTGGCATTTTGTGGCTGTTTCTTCTAAGCCATTAGCGTTTGAAGAGCACGATCACAGCGAGGGGACAGGCCACCCAGCCCCTGCTGCAACCAKCACCACACGCTGCTTCCTCGCCCTTCATCACATCCCAGCCCGGCCTCACCTTGAAGAACAGGACCACCTGGTCTCCAACACATGCAACCAACCCTCTGCAGCTGCCGGGCACTGCCCCTGCGTGTCACTGCTTGCTTGGGTGGCGAACAAAAGGAAAAGCACCCAGGAAGCCCCAGAAAAGCATGTGTGGACACGAAGGAAGGAAAAGCCACAAGCCTTTCCCAGCTCAGTTGACCCCATTGGGATGGATAGGGGTAAACAGGCCCCACTATCTGCCTTCAGAGCAGATTTTTTTTGTTGAGTTTGACCTGGCAGGCTCACGGCACTGAAAGGGACTGCCTGACTCATGAAATCCAAAGTCTCGCTACCCCAGACAGCCAGACAACAGAAGACTGATCTTAGCAGAAAAACTGCAAAGCTTTTTCCTAGCTCTCTTCTGCATCCCAGTGTCCCTCACATTGGAAAAGTAGGAGGACACACAAGCAAAAAAACTCCTATTTCTGGCTGTAGGAAGCAAATTAAAATCACTAGAGTAAACCAACAATTTTCTGCTATTATTGGAGCTGATGAAATACCATCAACATCTCCTTAAGCTCAAGTGGCCTGAGAAAGAATTTAACCATTCRCAGATCTTCAGGATCCCTGGGCTGCAATGTCAATATTTGCCTGCTATTGTATGGAGAACTTCCCAAGGGAGGGAAACCTCATACAGCAGTGGAATGGAACATGAATCAAGGACACATAAAGAGGCTTTTGCAGTGATGCTCACACCACCTTCTCCATCTCCTGCACACCTCACTCCTCACTGCCAGCAAGCAAAGGGCAAAGCCCTAARTGAGCCAAATGGAGAGAAAAACCTGCTCCGTGGTGCTCCAGCTCCGCCGGGAGCAGAGCCCAAGCACCAGGGTGCTCTCCACGAGATGCACTGCTGTGACTAAAGGAACCTCTTTTACCTTCTTCCCTCTCGTGCCTTTCATAATCCAGTTAATAAATACATTGCTGTATGATCCTGGATGGATGTAATTATACAGCATGTGGTGAAAATACARGAGAAATATACAAGATATCTTAATAGCTGAAAAACAACTGAGATGCATGATTAAAAAAACCCAAGTCTAAAAGGTGTATTTTAGCAAAGCAAAGGTTGGACCCCAGATCCTTCAGAAACATTCCCAAATTCACACATGCTGCCAGGCCACCAGCTTGGAGGAGCAGCAAAGCCCTGGCTTGGCCTTAGGACATCCCGCTGCGATGGAGAGTGGGGCCGGCAGTGCCTGCCAGCCAGGGGGACACCCGGGGTGCCGGGGACACCCTGGGTGCACGGACAGCCTGGGGCACCAGGGACACCCGCAGTGCAGGTGTGCGGGTGCAGGGGACACTAAGGGTGCACAGAGAGCTCCGGGTGCCGGGACACGCGCGGTGCAGGTGTGC